GAGAGGGGAGAGGGATTATAGAAGCAAGGGTGGGTCGGGATCATGATGGGGAAACCCACAGACACAGCTGACCCGAGCTCGTGGGAGCTCATGAACTCTGGACTCACAGCTGGGGAACCTGCATGGGACTGGACTGAACTAGGCCACCCTCTGAATATGGGTGACAGTTGTGTGGCTTGAGCTGTTTGTGGGATCCCTGGCAGTGAGTGGGACCAGGATTTATCCCTGGTGCATGAACTGGCTTTTTGGAGGCCATTCCCTATGATGGGACACCTTGCTCAGTCTTGATGCAGTGGGGAGGGGCTTGGTCCTGCCTTAACTTGATCTGCCAGACTTTGTTGACTCCCCATGGGAGGCCTTACCCACTCTGAGGAGTGGATGGGGGGTGGGTGAAGGGAGGAGCAGGAAGAGGGGAGGGAGGGGGGACTGTGGCTGATATGTAAAATGAAAGAAAAACTAAAATTAAAAAAAATGGACTTTCAAACTAGTCATAGCAAATCAACCCTTTTTGTGAACATAACTGCAATAAAGCAGAACACTTGGCTGAAACATGAGGGAAAGGAGATGCCGGTCATTTCCTTGGGGCGAGAGTTGGTTAATAAGTAGCCAAACCCAATTAATTTGAACTAGAACAATGAAAGGGAAGTAAGTGGTCAGTGTCCTCCCGTTTTAATTTGGTGTAAGTTTCCCAGTATTCAATTCTCAGTACAGAAGGTTCTTGCTGTTTTGCCACACCGAGTTCCTGGAAATCACATCCAGATCCCCCTGAATTAGGAGACTGGAACAGAACAGTGTGTGGGAACTGCATTCTCCACCCAAGGGTTTAGATTCAAACAGAAGCGGGTATAAACCACGAGTGTAATTAATGTGTTAATAGACGGGATCCTGCAGCTCTGTAAGCTCCATTTTTCTAGCTACAAATGAGTGACCGGTAGTTTCTGTACTAGTGGCTCCATGGACAGAAGCTGAGTCCTTAGGGCCTCCACAAAGCTCTTTTCTTAGACGGAGTTTCTCTCTGCGTCCAGAGCCTGGGGCAACGTGTTCAGCTCACAAACATGATTGCCGTGAATACAATCCCGAGACAGCTGGCTTCTCCAGTGAAATTATTCTGCTTGTGAAGTGTGATGAGCTTGGACACTGGAGTCTTGGAGGTGGAGTTTTTGCTCTGCCTTTCACAGACTTTGTGACACTGGGGAGACATTTAACTTGGGTGTAGGTTTCGTCTTCTACAGAGCAAAGCCCATGCCTGGCTGACAGGCTCAACACAGAGTAAAAAGAAAATGTTCAGCAGACCCTGTGTTTCGCGCCTGACCATTGGCAGGCGCAGCAGCATTATCACTTGTCAGATCTGCCTTCTCACTTAACGAAAAATGAGGAATTTGATTCAAAGGTTTTTTGTTTGTAAAGCATTTTTTTCTTAGTGTGCTAACCTCTATTAATACTAACCTTTCTTACAATAGCCACAAGATGGAAATAACCTATCAACACATGAGTAATCTGTGTGTGTGTGTGTCTGTGTGTGTGTGTGTGTGTGTGTGTGTGTGTGTGTGAACCAATTAGTTTAATTGAAGCTGCTTATGGGGCTCAGATAAGAGGAATTTACAGGAGCAGGGACAACTTACCAGTGGCCACATCGTCGAAGAAAATGTCTCTTTCTCCTGCAGAAACAGCCAACAGCCTATAGATCCTCAGGGAAAGGTGGGGCCTTGTGAGTTCCCTCTAATGTGTGTGTGTGTGTGTGTGTGTGTGTGTGTGTGTTTTAAATATGCTATATAGCTGCAATGGAACGCTTCTCAGCTTTCAAAAAGAAGTAAATTCTTCAGTATGGGATGGCCTGATAAACCCTGCAAATGTCACATTAAGAGAAACAGGCCAGACACAGTGACAAATGCTATGGACTGCACTTGCAGGCGCATCTGCACCAATCAGATTAGAGCACACTGGTGGTTCCCAGGAGAAGGGATGACTGGAAGCTGCTGGTCTTGGAACCTTACTTTTCTTTTCTAAGAACTAGAGGTCTATCCACTGCCTTAGTAGAACTGAGACACAGAAAGTATACCCTTGAATGGTATTAGCAGCTTTTCTGTTGCTGTGATGGGAGAAAAGAGTGTATGTGGGTGTGTGGTTCCAGAGCGGATGGTGGGTGGTGTGGCAGCAAGGGGGGCCAGCGGCAAGCAGGGTGGGGCCTTACGCTCTCAAAGTCCAGCCCTAGTGGCTGGCACACTTCCTCCAGCAAGGCCACACCCCCCCAAGCCTTCCCACACAGTGCCACTAACAGGAGGCCAAGTGTTCAAATGGCCGAGACCGTGCAGGACATTTCTTATTTAAACCACCACAACAGTTCTAGCCTTTATGTTTTTCTTATTTTTTTTTCCTGGTGCGAAGGGGAGACAAAACAGTTCTTTAGAATGAGTGGAGATATGGAGAAACAGGAGTTGGTAAAAGTAATACATAGCACTTAGTGTTTAAAACTGGTTAAGATTTCAAAGGCAGTCTCTCTTGATCCCAACAAGCCCTTATGAGGTACTGAATTGGCAGTGGATCAGTGTGATCCTCATTGCCAGGCTTCCACCCCTTGGGTATTCTCTGATCAGTTTATGTGGATTTTTTGCATGTTGCTATGGTAAAGCTCATTCCGTGATGTGAGAGACCTTCCTGCTGAGGAAGGTTTTGTTAATGTTAGAGCCTGAATTTTCATTTCCACATTTTATCTTGGTGTTACCAGGGCAACCCAAATAATTTCATCTTCTCTTTGAAGTTGATGCCTGTAGGCTGGTGTACCTCACGCTGACTCACTTATTCTCTCTCAGGGTTTTGTTTTTTCCTAGTTGAATTCTTGCAGCTACTTTCCTTAATGCCGATGTTTTCTGCAGTCATCAGGTGGGTCACTGTTGGTACAGTGGCTAAGTGTTTGAGGGGATTACACATCTCATTGCTGGCTAGAAAAGAGCTATGGACCTTCTCACCAGAAAAATGCCAGTTTAAGTAATGGCAGAGAAAGGTATTGAACATGCAGAAGCTTATTGGGGCATCTCTCCTCCAAATCTCCAAGTCTATCTAGTTCTCAGGATCTGGATAGCAAGTTGCAGGAGTTTAGGCAAGGGCTGGGGTGTAGTTCAGCCAGCCCTGCAGAAAACTAGATGCAGCCGCATGTACCTGAAGTATCAGTACTCGAGAGGTGGGCACAGGAAGATCAGAAGTTCAAGGTCATCCTTGACCGCATAGCTAGTCAGAGGCCAGCCTTAGCTACCCGAGACGCTGCCTCAAAACCAGAATCACCTAAGCAGAGTTTATATGGTAAGAAACTCTTAAAGCTCTATCTGAATCTATTCCAATTCTAAGTCCCAGTTGTGAAAGCTAGACGCATGTTTGTTTCTACTTCTTCCCAGGCAATCACATAGTTGGGTTGTTTGTTTGTTTTTTGATTGTTTGGTTTTGGTTTTGAGACAATCTCATATAACCTAAGCTGTGCTAACTCACTTCGGAGCTGAACCTGGATTTGAACTCCCAATCCCCCTCCGTCCACCTCTCCAGTGCTAGGCTTACAGGTTCCTGCACCACGCCTGGCTTACACAGCTTTGGATCTCATCCTCTCTGGCAGGAGTGAAAGACTGGTTGCCACACATCTCCCCCTGCTCGTCTGGCTCCGATAAACCCTTCGAGTTTGAATTAGTGTAAAGAGCAGAGAACCAAAGGAAAGAGTCATGCTCTCAGGTCGCCTTGCATGGATGTGTGCTGCTCATAACCCACCCTAACTTCTTGTTATCTTTGATTTTCAATGATAGGCCGTTAATAGTTTTAAAATGCTGAGAAGGGGCAATGAGGAAAGAAAGGAGAAAAAGGGGAAACAGCAACATGGATAAACTTGCAGAACATCCTAATAAAGAGAAATTAGCCAGGCAGAGAAAGGAAAATGCTGCATGTACTCATACATGTGCACCTTAGAAGGCTGATCTCATGGAAGAAGGGAGTTAAGTCACAGTCTCTGGAGACTGGGAATGAATGATAGGGAGGATGGGAGATCCGGAGAAATTATGTAACAGGACCAAGAAGTCCAACAGGAAGAATTTGTTCTTCTATAGCATGTCAGGATAACTGTTTACAGCAGTTTACATGTCTCCATAACTAGAGGAAGAAAACCAAGAGGTTTGCCAGGCCATAAAATGGTTTATGCTAGACTGACAGCGTAGCACAGTGGTAAGGCACTTGTCTGACATGCCCAAGGTCGTGGACTCAAGCCCAAGCACCAACAAAACCCAAAGATCTGAGGACCTAAAGCCCATGAGTATAAGTCAGTTAAAAGTGTGTCTAGCTGAGCAGTGGTGGCACACGCCTTTAATCTCTGAACTCGGGAGTTCAAGGCCAGTCTGGTCTACAGAGTTAAGATCCAGGACAACCAGGGATACACAACACAATGAAACCCTGTCTTGAAATACAAACCAAAAAGAAAAAAAAAATGTTTCTAAGCAGATCTAAGGAATCATCCTCTGGCCAGAGAATAGACAATAGATGCCTGTGTGCAGTTGGGAATTGGGTTCCTAGATAGATGTGGACAGACTGAGTGAGGAGAGCAGGACAAGTTGGCCATTTGGATAGAAGCAGGAGAGAGAAGCAGACTGTGGCACCCATCGTCAACATCTACGATCGGGAAGGTGCTGGCTGATCCCTAAGATGCCAAAACAATGTTTGCTGACTGGGACAAGACTTTTATGAACTCAGTACCTAGCACGGGCAACTGAGGTGTCAGGGGAGGATGGCCTGGCATAGGACAGTGTCACTGGCACATCTGGAGGACAGTCTGCCTCATTTAACTGGCAGCTGGAAGAAGAAGCTGCTTGGCTTCTGCTGGGCGCTTGAGTGACTGAGTCTTAGTGACTTTTTGTCAGTTTAGTCTAAAGACTGTCATGTTGTCCTACTCCTCTGCCCTGCCCTTGTCTCTGGGACAGACAGTGTCACATTTATCTTATTCAACAGAAACATAAACAAAAATTCATACTGGCTTACGGAGACCCATGTGAACCACTGAAGAAGGCGTCTCCACCCCGGCGTTCAGGCACCTCTGCATGTATGAAGCATCCTGAGTGTGTCCAGCCCAGCATGTCTCTCACAACAGTCTTTAGGTGTGGGCAATTCAGTACATCTTTGCATCCTAGTGCAAGGTTCAGAGGACAGAGATGGTCTTCCTCACTCACTGCCTTCTCCACAGCAGCAGCTCAGGATGTTGCTGCTGAGGCTAGTCGAGCACCTTCATAAAGCTGCCGGTTCTACTGTCGGGGTCAGTGCTGGGGACAGAGAGGTTGTCCATCATTGCCCTTGAGAACCTTCTCATGCCAAGATTCTCCATGTAATCTGAGCTCCTGCAGCTCCAGGTCAGAGAGATGAAGCCAGTGCGGCCCTGGCTTTCTCCTCCCCATCCCCAGTCCCACTCTTTACCCACAGGAATCCCAAGGGTGACCTTGCATGTATCCAGTGCCTTGGATACAAATGAACCAACCCATCTTTCCATAAATTCCCACTTCTCCATACACGGGTGGTGGTGTTTATTTTGAAGTAACTTTCATGTCTGTGTGGGCATTTTCAGGCCTAGGGAGGGGTGATCTGGGTTAACTTTGGAGGGTGGGTCATCTAAACAGAGGGAACAGACAAATAAAAACAAACATCCCCGGTTCCATCAACTGCCCTTTCTCTTGGCTCTGGGCCTGTTTTCCACTACCCAGAAGATCTACTAAATTCCCCAGCTCCTCTTCAGCGCTCCAAAGGTCTCTCATCTTTGAAGATTTTGACTTTTAAAAGTAATCTTATTTGTTTTCTCGGTTTAATCTACTTTTTTTTTTCCTATGAAATTTTAGGTCTTAACTGACTATCTCAGATTTTTCCATGCTATTTATTTGTTTATTGGTGAGACAGAGTCTCACTGTAGTCCTGGCTAGCCTTGAACCCACTAGATAGACAGGGCTGGCTTTTAGCTCAGAGATCTGCCTGTCTCTGTCGCCTAAATACTAGAATTAAAGGTGTACACCACCACACCTCCCCTAGGATTAACATTTTAAAACTTTCAATTTAACACCTCTTTGTTGCTGTTTTGAGACAGGGTCTCACGTAGACCAGGCTGACTTGGAATTATTGGTTTAGCCTAGGATATCCTTGAACTCCCACACTCTCCTCTGCCTTGCAAGTGCTGGTGTTACAGACAGACCTTACACACTAATCCTGTGTAACAAGCCTTAAGCTAGCTTTGTTTCTCCCCGACACGCTTTTCATCCAGGTGATGAGTTTCAGCTCAGAAGCCACCTGTAGATGCCACCAAGCAAGCTGATACATCACTAGGGTTATGAATCTTGTTTTCTAGACCTTTCAACAACTTTTAAAAATATATCCTGCAAGGCTCTAGATAGTTCTGAAAAATTTTTTCTAAGGAAAGTCTCAAGCTCTTTAGTTCCAACCCAAGATTTTTACTAATAATAGCACCTGGCAAACAAACCCTTTCTAAATACTATGCAGTTTTTCTGTGAAGGTCGCGTATGCCAGGCATGATGAGGGAGGCCTGAAATCCCAGAGACTTGGTAGGCTGAGGCAGGGTGGTTATAAGGCTACACCTTACCTGAGCTACAGAGTGAGTTCAAGGCCAGTCTGGGCAACACACAAACGGTCTAAAGCATTTGGAAATTAAAGAAGGGCTGGGGATGGGGACTTAGCTCAGGGGCAAAACACCAGGCTAGTGTGTGTATGAGACCTTAGGTTCAATCCCCAGCAACACTTGCATGCGCGCACACACACACACATACACACACACACACACACACACACACACACACACACACGAAAGAAATGAAACCAAAAAGAAAAAGGCGTGTGTGGTGGAAATCTAATTGTACTGAAATGTGATTTTGATTGTATGTTAATAAATAAAGTTGTCTGGGGGTCAGAGCTATTAGAGCCATAGCAAGAGTGTGGCGGTGGTGGCACACGCCTTTAATCCCATAGATCTCTGTGTGTTCAGGGATACAGCCAGCATTGGAGACATATGCCTTTAAGACCTAGGGGGCTGTACATTAAGACAGTGACGAGGCAGTCACGTGTTTGGGTTTATAAGCAATGAGAAGGCAGAACAAAATACTATAAAAAGACGAACAGACAGGATATAGCTCTCTTTCGGGAAGCTGGGACACCGCAGGAGGAAGGGTGAGATTTTAGCTCTGAGCTCTGACCTCTCAGCTTTCTCTTTTACATTGTTTCTGTGTTTCTTATTTAATAAGACTGTTGGTTACATCTACAGGCGTGTGTCTCAGTTACTGTTCTAATGCTGTGATGAAACACTATGACCAAGGCAACTTTTAGAGAAAAGCATCTAATTGGGGGCTTGCTTATAGTTTCATGGCTGGAGGCAGGCAGGTGTGGTGCTAGAGCTGGAGCTGAGAGCTTCCATCCTGATCTGTAGACAGGAGGAAGGGAGGGAGAGGGGAGAGAGGGAGAGACAGACAGACAGATAGGCAGACAGGGCTACTCCTGGCTTGGGCTGTTGAAACCTCAAAGCCCACCCTCAGTGACACACCTCCTCCAGCAAGGCCACATGTCCAAATCCTACCTAAACAGTTCACCAATTGAAGACTAAGCGTTCAGAAGCATGGGGACCATTCTCATTGAAGCCGCCACTCATGGGGGGTGGAGAGACAGCTAAGGAGTTAAAAGCACTTGTTCGTACTGAGGACCCAAGATCAGTTCCCAGCACCCACATGACAATTCACAACCGTTCATAACTCCAGTTCCAGAGGATTTAACACCCTCTCATGACCCTCTTAAGAACCAGGCATGTAGATAAGTGTATACACACATACATGCAGGCAAAACACTCATACTATGTGAATAAATAAAATCTAAAAAAAAGAAAAATGGAATTTGTTGAGTCTTACCCAAAATTATCTGATGGTTTTTAATTTTTTCCTTCTACCTTGTTTTCACTGACAAAGGATTCAAATTAATAAATCCATGACCTTGTGCTTGTACTGGCTGCCGTGGTTTGAATGAGAATGGCCACCATAGGCTCATATATTTGAATGCTTAGTCACCAGAGAGTGGGAATGTTTGAGAAGGATTAGGAGGTGTGGCCTTGTGGGATTAGGTATGAGAGGAAGTGCTTTGCTGGAGGTGGGTATTGGGGTGCCAAAAGCCCAGCCAAGTCCAGATTCCCCTTCTCTGTCTGCTGCTGGGGGATTGGGACATAAGGTTCTCAGCCCCATACCTGCCAGCCGCCGCCATGCTTCCTGCCATGGTGATGATGAGCTGGACCTCTGAAGCTGGAAGCCAGCCCCAGTTAAATGCTTTCTTTGTAGGAGTTGCCATGGTCACGGTGTCCCCACACAATGGAACAGTAAGGCACTGGTCTTGAGATTTGGGTTTTAATTGCTCAGTCCCGTATTCCACACATGTATATTAAACATCTACTGTGTGGTGAACAGCCAGAACTTAGCCCTGCTGCCCTGAAGCTTACACTCTGGATGTGGGAGACAGTAGTAATTTAAGAACAGGAGCATGAGTGAGTGAATGAAAGATGGTGTCTGTGGTGGAGGTACATCCCTGGTGCTGGGAGAGCCTGAGGTGCTGGCTGTGGGTGCCTGGAGTAACTTTAACCTAGCTGGAAATTTAAGTTTTCACACACACACACACACACACACACACACACACACACACACA